ATTCTATGATTCTATGATCTAGTTAATCTAACAAGCGATACAGATGATAGTTGGTAGACCCCGAGCTGTTCGGATGCTTCCCCTTGATTGCCACAACAGGGTTGGTCTTACAATACTGAAATTGTTGACAGTTGTGTAACATCCTGGTTTACAGTGCAGGGAAAATGCCTCCTCTAGTAGGAGAGCATGGTGGAATAGGATGCAATGTTGAAAGAAGAGATCTATTGAAGTTCTGGTCCTAGCGTTTCTATATCGTAGTTTTTCACAGTTCTTATATTTTGTTGCAAACTTCAGATAATGATGTGGCATTTACGGGTATGTAAAGGAAGCGCAATGATCTTCCCCTTTAATGTTTCCAGTTATTATAAACCATTTTAAATATCTAAATGCTTGGATAGAAACAGAGGAGGCACTTTAAACAAGAAACAATAGATTTGCATCATTACGTTTCTAACCACTTCCATTCTTACTTAACATAAAGTAAGATTGCAGTAAATATCTGTGAAGCAGGAAGCACGGCGTTCGCTGTCTCCCAGAGGTGACTGTGCCAACTCAGTTTTTTATGCTTGATCTCTAACAGCATCCTTACGATTCCCTCAAACCAAAGCTCCCCCAAAACAGACAGGGTGTGTGCTGTGTGTGTGATGTAACTGTGCAGCAGCTCGGTGGCGTGTGGGAACAAGCAGCTGGAGAGGCAAGGAATAAGACCTCCAAAGCTGGCTCTTGTTTCCTTGGTTCTGCAGCGCAATAGAAGTTTGAAACCACAGTTCGAACGTCTTCAGTCCAGATTTTCTGTCCTGGACATTGATTACACTCTATGTTAAACCAGCTGCAGTTAAATGTCATATTTCTGAAAGACTTCCACTGCACGGATACAGGTTTCAGTGGTTTTCTTTCCTGCTTCTAAACTCTATAAAGTGAATACTGCTGTTAATGGAATAGTGAAAAAAAAGTATGATTCTTGTAAGCTGACTTCTGAATGCTTGTTTACAGCAAGCATTATGGGGTGTTATGTTCATCATTTACTTTTATGCGCTTTTTCCCCTCTCTTAATAGGTATTATAGCTGCAAATGTCTTTGTATTCTGTCTATGGAGGCTGCCTGGCATGCGACGGATTATGTTTACATACTTCACCTCAGATCCATCCTCCAGTAAGTGAACAGTAACTTGGGTGACTTTTCTACACCGGGAGCTAACAGGACCTCTGATGGTACTGCAGAAGTTTGGGACGGCACGTTGCTTGTTCGTAGCTCCGTCCCTCACAAGCCGTCTCAGTCATGCCCAAACACATCATTCTGCCTAGGCAGGAAGTGGTTTGAGGGGGGAAAAAGGTTCGAAGTAATGGATCTGAGTTTTTAAAACAAACAAAACACCAGTGCTTTTCTGAATGTTGTGATGTCAAAACTGTTGCCTGCTATCCAGCCTTTTACTGCATTCCGTAGGATGCAGGTCCTGCCTCTGTAAAGGCGAAGAGGCGCTTCTCCCAGTGATACCAACCCCTGCCATCACATTAAAAAAGAATAAACGCACCCCCACAAACTGGGGTTTCACTGGGTGCAAAGTGTTTTGAGGAGGTTAACTTAGGAAAGCAAGTTACTGGTATTCAGTGGCAGAACAATTAGTTTTCATTTCTACATTAATGGATTGGAAGGATGAGACAAACCTGCGGTAGGGGACTACTTCCTGCTGTCCTAACTTCTGTTAAAAAAGTGGAAACTCAGCCAGTTGCCCACGCACACTCCAGAGCTAGAGATGGCTGTTAGCCAGGTCGGAGCATCAGTCACTCCCAACACTCCCATTTTAAATAATGTTGACCTTCCGACCTGCTAATTGGCTTTTCTTTGCATTTTCAAGGCTGCTGTTTAGTGAGGAGAGCTTTTTGAGAAGAAAACTACTTTTTCTTTAGGAGTCCATCTCTGTAGCCAAATAATTTTACATAGATGCTCATATAATGAGCATCATATAATGAGATGCTCACCATATACACGTCTAATAAGGTATCTTTTTTCCTTTCCAAAGCACAGGAGTTGTGTTAAAAGATATATGTTTCATATGAAACATACCCCAGTGGGTAATTAAGACCTTCTGAAGTAGCTGTTTGTACAGCTTGTGTATCTCTGGGATGTATGTTCTACCTTTCAAAAGGTATTGCATGGAATTTGAAATGTGTTACACTTCTGGATTTATTATGTAGCCTGTATTTGAGGATTCTAAGTATTATTAGCCCATAGTATGTATTCATAAATCTAGTCTGTGTGACTAGTTGAAGGAAATTAAAACACTGACTGTTTTTTTTTCATCAACTGTTTTTCTCTTTTGTAGGAGCCCTGTGTTCTCCCATGCTGCTCTCTACGTTTAGTCACTTCTCTCTATTCCACATGGCAGCCAATATGTATGTTTTATGGAGTTTTTCCAGCAGCATTGTGTCTCTTCTGGGATGTGAGCAGTTCATTGCAGTGTATCTTTCTGCTGGTAATGTTAAATATATACATTTACCACACTGAGTAATAGTGTTCCTGCAAGTAAAGCGTGTGCATGGTTAATAGTTGTGTGATGATAGATGGCCATTGTTCAGTCCCACACATTGCTCCATACCGACTGTAGTACTTGCATGCTGTCATACGGAATTTTGATGGGCTTAGGATATTTGGCTTCAAAATATCGTGACAATACAAGTGTCTGGTTTTAATTCCCGCTGAGCTACCAAAATAGAATAGCACTTAATACAGACTCATGGGAGTTTCCCGGGAAAAGATGGCAGTTAATCCAAGTTTACAAACAAACAACAGCCAAAAAACCCACACCACCTATGCTGGCTTCCTCAGGGAGATGTTCAGGCAACATTGTTGTGCTCCTCATGCTCGTTTGCATTGCTGGCATCGTTTCCAATAGGCATTTTTCCTTTCTAGGGGTTATCTCCACTTTTGTCAGTTACGTTGCTAAAATGGCCACCGGAAGGTTTGAACCGTCCCTTGGAGCTGTAAGTATCTTGGAATATGGGAGACCTTATAATGATCTCTGAAGCCGTTTTCAAAGCCTGCCGTATTCTTTAACTTGCGTAAAAGCCAAGAATACATTTGGGCTAGTGGAGACTAGGAAAGTTTACCAAAACCAAGTAAGCAGGCAGTGATTCCTGCGTGAGAACTTGACTGTTCTATAAATATGTGAACTCTCTTGCAGCAGCAGCCCAGAACTAATGCCACTTAATGCTAATGGCTGGTAAATGAGTACTTGTAAATGAGTACAAGCAGGACCTCTTGTCTCTGAGCAGATAGTTCAGTTCCGTAACTTACTGCATAAATGTTATTGCATAATTATGTATCACAGTCTTCTCTAATTGAAATAGAATACTTTAGAAGGAGATAATGTAGGCAATCAAAATCAGCGTGTGATACTCACAGAAATCGTAGGGAACAGTGTGCAGAAAGGGCAGCGCTTTTGCCCAAAGTCTCACAGTATGAAAGAGAGGAGGCAGGCCGAGGAGGTGTTAACGGTTGTCTGTTCCTTGCAGGTCTTTTTAGTAGCAGAACATTTTAAATCACTTAACTGTCTGTAAGTTTGAGGTGAACCTAGCCATTTGCCAAGTTCTAAAGGCTTCTTCCCTTACTTTACTAAATCATTTTGATAAAAGCCAAGAGTCAGATTCTGATTTTTCAGCTGGAATGAAAAAAAATCTGTTGAGTGGTCCCAAAGTTAGCAGTTTTGGTACTATTTTCTATATATTGTCCCTTTAGCTTGTGAATAAACTGTATCTGGAGGAAGCTACTTTCCATTAGTCTTACTGATCTGAACTTACTGAAATTGCCACACGCTGTGTTAGTTTACTGTATTTACAGCCTTTCCATTGAGATATTTCATGGATACAAAAGCCCATGGTCAGTTTAGTACAGACTGGGGAATTGCTTGTTTCATTGACAAAAGATTTCTTGTCCCTGTCCATGTGTTATTTTCCTTGTTTTGGTACAAGCGTCAGAATGATTCCCTTCATCCGAGATGTCCGTGTTTGATTAATACATGTTAGATTTAGAGGGTTTACTGGGAAAATGCGCATCAATGTAAATTGTTATCCTAAAAATCAGGAAGGTTATTTTGTAATTATGTAAGACGTCAGGGGGGTATTTTTTTGCCCAGGATTTATCATTTGATTCTGAAATTAAATGGTGTCTTGTTTTATTTTTATTCTGAACTTTGCTGTGGTGCTTTGTACTTTGAGGGTTACCACAGGGCTGCCTTGGAAGATGAAAGCCAGAAGGGGTTCACGTGTAGAAAAATAAATTTTCCCTTGCATAACGCCTCGGCTTACTTTCATGTATTTTAATGTATTTACAGTCAGGAGCTATAATGACGGTCCTTGCAGCCGTGTGTACAAAGATGCCAGAAGCAAAACTAGCCATCATATTCCTTCCAATGTTCACATTTACAGCAGGAAACGTAAGTGCTTTTGAACTTCAAAGATTTTTTTTTACACCTTTCCAGTATCTGAGCATGTCCCCTCTTTGTTTGTGTTTCTAAGCTGTTTTACATTTATTTTGAAAGAGAACACAGGTCGTGGGAGTCCTGGAGACAGATTGTGAGTTGTTGCAGCCCAGCATGATCATTACACAAGCGTGTAGTGAATTTAGAATTATCCTAAATTCCATCTGATACCAAGAGGCGAAAGCAGTTGGGAGGGACTCGGGCTCGCCTGTCTGCGGAAACGTGCATATGCATGTTGTTCTTTCTGATGGGTGGTATTTTTTGTAGCAGTGCTTGTTACAGGCTAATCTAGTACTGACACATTTTTCTTCAAAAAGAGTCTATCAAGATGGGAAAACGAGAATTTCACTTCTCAAGAGAAAGAACATCCCAGCCCTGAAGGAATACCTGCTTCCTCATTTGGATACACTTTTTGATACTGCTAAGAACACTGTTGGGATTAGAAATAACCTACTGAGGCTTTTCATGTGTAGCACTAGGCCTGCTCTTTTGTTGCAGTAAGTGCTTTTAGGCACATCCACTACCCCATTAAAGAAGAGCTTCTCGGGTGTATCTTGACTTGCTTTAAGTTAATAATCTTTGGTCCTCCACTTAGAGTTGTTTTACTCAAAGTGGTTTCTACCTTCCAGCAGAAGAGTCGTTCAGGAGAGTGTGATGATCAGTTTATATCAGATGAGGTGACAGGGATGCTGCCCCAAATGCCATGTGCTAGGGGGTTGTTTTGGGGAGGACAGGTGCACATAAGTCTAAGCTATGTCAGAATCGGTGATTGAGAATGTTGCAGTTCTGTATTTTGTGGTGTCTTTTCTAGCGTGTAATCTTTCAAGTAGCTTCCTTTTGTTTTTCCCCCTGACCTGAGTTTGGAATGCAGGTGTAGCTTTAGAAATGAACATTGGAGGAGACTGAGTATTTGGAAAGGGCACATTCCTACCCTGCATTATTCTGTGGCTGCTCATGTCTGTACTTTGACAGCACAGCACGGTACAGCCAAGGACTGAGTCTGGTTTCATTTTTTCATTTTTACACTGACAGCTTTGATACAAAATTTACAACATTTTTCTGATACCAAATTTCTGTTACGTGCCAGAATATGAAACTTTGTTATCACTGGCCATTGTATGGTGTGACTGATCCTGTCCATTCCTTGTTCTGTTCCTTTCCAGGCTTTAAAAGCCATAATTGCATTTGACACTGCAGGGCTTGCTCTAGGCTGGAGACTTTTTGACCACGCTGCGCATCTTGGGGGAGCTCTCTTTGGAATGTAAGTCTGTATTTACTAACTTCTGTTTGTTTCATATTTAAATTCATCCTGTGTTTTTTTCCTCTTTAATTCCTGTTATCTCTGCAGTGTGGGGTTTTTTTGGAAGGTTGTCTTAGGTAGCATTGAAGACAGCTTACTGTTATCCTTATAGTGGTATAAAATTATGTGGAAAGTACTGCTAACTGAGGCTTAGAATGGAAAGAAATTGAGCCAAACTGCCTTAGAATGATAGATTAGATTTCAGATTGTCCTGTCACCATAACCTGGGCTGTCTCTGTCCTACTCCCCCTAGCATATTGAAGAGAGTCAGAAGACAGAAACGATTCTCACAAAACACAACATGGACAAATTAAAATAACTTTGTAATTAAACAGCTGAGAAAATTCCTTTTTCTGTGTTTTTCCTCTCATTACCAGCTTAGAGAGAGCTATGTAGTTAGCATAAGCTCAGGCCAAATTCCTTTGAGCAGCCTCTGCTGCTGTTTCTCGGTGTTGCTGTGTTGTCTTTGTGTGGAGCCTTCCTAATTGGGAAGAACTACTAGAAACCAGTTTGTAGGAAACAGTTCTGCATTGTTCCAGGTTTGAACTGCATGACCTAATGAGTTTTTCCCTTCTGCCCGATTGCAGTGTTGTCTTAATGTGCACACTTATTGCTAAGAGCATTTTTAAACGTTTTATTAGGAAGTTGAAAAGCGTACCTGATGTTTAACTAGACCAGACAAAGAACAGGTGGAGGACACTTATTTTGGTCTGTGAACTGGTTTGCCTTTGTTTGCTATGATGTCTTGGCTGTGGTGTCAGTAAGTTCTGTGCTGCAGTCTCCTGTTCTCCCTTGCTCTGGCATCACAGATGTGTTTGATGGAGCCTTGCTGATCTGTAACTCCCTTCTGCTGATGTATCTGTATCAGCCTGTTGATTGTAAGAGAGTCACGTATTACTAAAATGAGATAGCAGTTGCAGTAAAAATTGTCTTGACTTGACAAGTATCTTCCACACCTTCATACATTCTATCTGTATGTTCTACTCTGTGACCGTTTTGGTCAATTCATCCTAAAACAGGCCTCTGTTTGGGACATGTGTTGAATGGACAAAGTGTTTTCTGTAGGTTGCCCCACAGACATTTGTCTGCCTCAGAAAGATGTAGTGTAATGGCCAGTTTACTAGCACGGGCTGACAGCTCCTATGGAAGTGCTTTTGTTATTCAGGACTGAGGTGTGAAGTTAGGCCTGGGGGAGAACTTTCAGCCTATTTCCATAGGGTTGCTTCCCCTCCCACCTCTCCACCATAACCTCGCTCGCTTAATCACATACGTCTCTCTTACTGTATAAGCATATGTAGTTCTCTATGAATATAGATTAAACTAGAACACATCAGTAGATTAAATCTTCATTTAGATGTTTAGAGAAGAAACTCACTTTGAATGGAATGTGGCTGCTGGTTATGAGGCAGTTGTATTTATGGATGAGAAAAATACTTTTACTTGGTGTTGTCAGTAAAGATTAGCACAAGCAGCCGTACTAAGTCTCTTAAATGGGAATAGTTTTTTGCATCTTTTTAAAGTAGAAACCACGAGAGCATGAAATCAGATGCTTGAAAACCATTCTCGGGACGGAGACAAGGAAGGACACAAGGAAGTGCCTTACTGGCCGCTGCCACTTTCCAAGAATGTTGTTATTTCTGCCTCAGTTTATCTTGTCTCCCATACTAAACATCTGAGATACTTGATTTTAGTGATCAGCCTGTTTCTCAGATAGAGAGAAAAGCTGCAGTTAGTTTTAACTAGTATTCTCTTTCTCAGGTGGTACGTGACTTACGGCCATGAGCTCATATGGAAGAACAGAGAACCCCTGGTGAAAGCTTGGCATGAAATGAGGACAAAGAACACGGGAAAAGGAGGGGGTGGAAGATCTAACTGATTCTGATCCTAAAGATTCCTTGTGCCCAAGTGGCATATTACTTGAAGATATGGGATTGAATTGGTTTTTAGGGATTTTGCTACTCCACATTAAGCCTCTAAGGAGATGAAGTTTCTTATATAAACTACAGTTACAAAAATGCATATCAATAGAAACTGAACTCTGACAAAGGTGGAACAATAAAGGTTTTTATCTTCTTGCTCTGTGATGTAACAGTCTGCATTACACTTTTTAAAGGAAGAATTATTAAAAAAAAAAAGGTGTCCAATGAAGCAACCAAAAGCTCTGTCCAAAAAAAAAATGCGAAATGGAGTACAACTGGTTAACACTTAGGAAGATAAACATTTCTAAAACTGAGGACGCTATGGATAACGCATCCCCTAATGTCTGCCAAACCACACTAGGTGCTTTCCTAGAAGGCATGCTTTAGACAGATTGGACTCAGCCTAATGTGATGAAGTTCTTTATTGTTGAAAAGATTGGATGAGGTGAGCCAATGATCTCTTCCGAACTTAAACTTGACGTACGTGAAGCAATACTGGATTGTTTGCCAAAGCTTACATACTGGTTAAAGATCCAGCTTTATTTGTCACCTGTAGCTTATTCAACCTCTGCTTTCATTCCTGTCTACTTCCAAGACGCTGTCACATCTTGTTAGAATTTACTGCAGTGATAGCTTCTTCTCTTTAATGATTGCGTGCAGTGGTAGAATGACTTATGCTGTGGGTTTGGATATTTTCCCATGAGTTATGTGGCCTTCTACTTTATTTCACTGCATTAGGGGTTTTTTTGTTTGGTTGGGTTTAAAGTTGTGCTGTATTGCTAGTTTTCTTTAAGGTTTTTCTAAGAATTTTAAACCAGTAACATCTGGTTCAGAATGTGCCAGTTCTATAAAAATAAGCAGCTTCAGCAAAAATAGATGAGGCGCCTGAGATCAGCAACACTGTAACCAGAAGTAACTGCTAAAGTAAAGGCAAGGGTAGTACCATGACCAATTAGACCATTAGACAAAACCAAAGATTGAGGTGTGGGTGTGCTGCTGCTCTGTGCCTGTCCTGCAAGGATGACTACCCAATCCCTTGCAAGGGGCTGGGGAGTCTGCCCGGGTGGGAGCTGGTGGATTCAAACCCGTAACTCTTCCCTGCAGGCTGAATTAGTCATTCCAGATGGACTGACTTGCCAAAGAACGCGTTGCATCAGTAAGAAGCAACTTGTGCCTTTTTACTTTTACAGGAGTGCATTGCAGAAAATGCATTTCCTGTAAAGAGAAACTATACATAATGCTAAATGGCACCAGTTGTAATAAGTGGAGTACAAAATTGTAAACTCCCTTACTGCCACAGGCCAGTGGTCAAGTCTGTAAATTCTACTTACCAAAACTTAAAAGACACATTTTTTTCCCTTGGAAAGTGAGATGCTTGAGGATTTGTGCCTTTAACTGCCTGTCAACTTAAATACTTGAAAGAGCTGGAGTATCTAGTGTTTCTTTGCTCTGCTTCAGAAGCTCTGCGTTTCTAATTTGCCACTTCTCCTTTCCTGCTTCCTTCTCTGATGCTCAGGAGAAGCGTGCAGGTGTTGAGGGCTCCGGCCACAGTACAGCCCTGCCTGTAGCAGGGGGCAGCCAGATGTGCAGCGAGAGGCACTGCTGCCCGCAGCCGCCTGCGGAGCCACGGAGAAGCCAACAGCATCGGAAGGTGGCCACTGAATGAGCTTGGCAGGAGGGAGTATTTCCTACCAAAGAAGCTCAAAAGCCATAGCTTACAATATTTTGCATGTTGGTTTTACACCTATTTAACACCTGTTTCCTTTTATCCCCACCCCCTTTTTAATTTGTACTACCTCTTGTCCACTCAGCAACTTAGCTAGTCTCTTCAACAAACCTGTATTTGATGAGGGTTTTTTAGAGATCCTGGCTGAAAGCATCAGAGAATAACATTGCAGGAAATACACTGTATAAACCCTGAAGGACATTGTATTTTACAGGTGTAGAAGAATAAGCCAAGGTTACAATGAAGTTCTTCACCACAGTGGCCGTGCCTACCTTTGAAAGTGGTGCCCCTGCGTCGCTTGCAGAGCCTGGAGTGCCGCTCGTGGTCTCTTAGACCTGCGAAGGCAGCGTGGCATTGCTGTACCCTTCCAGCTTGCACCGCAGCATTTCCAGCTGACCCTTCAGAGGCCATGCCTGCACTTCTCCTGGATTCTCAGAGTTGCAGGAGCTCAAAGGTCCTGGAAAACCAGCCTGAAACTGCCAGAGAGGTTTGGAAGTCATTGTCTTTTCAGCCATTGGCTGTGGTTTGAGAGTCTCATGCCTGAGCTTAACTTTAGGACCAACAGCATTCACTCTTCTAAAGGCTGTTCAGTACCTGAATCTTCCTCATTTGTAGAGACCCTAGAGGTGTTTAACATATGTAAGGTTGCACAAACACATTCACATGGCCAAGCAGTGGGTTTCATGTCATTTTGCTCCTGAACCCTGCTGCAGCATTGTATGCCAAAGGTGAAACATCTGTGGTCCAAAACAACTTTCAGACTGCGATAGGAAAGTCAATACTCACTCAGTCAGACCTGAAATGGCCCAGAGTTGTGACAGCTCACCAGAGTAAATAAGATGCCTTTCTGGCAAGCAAATGCCCTTCTTGAACAACCTGGTGTCAGTATGTGCCAGCAGCTCAGTATTTAGTCACACCTTTGAATGACAAAGAAATTAGAAGAATGACCTCTTCCCCCTCCCCCCCCCAAAAAAACACCCTAACCCAACAAACCCTGAAAAAAACCACCAACAAAAAAAACATCCACCTAAACCAACCACTTTTTTCCCCCTTTTCAAAGAGCTTGTTATTGTGAATAAAAATACAATGTGATAATTATGCAGACGCTTGGCAGAGACAGAAACTAGTGTTTGCGTAGGAAAATAGCAGTAAGTATAAAGTCATGGTTGGTCATGTAGAGATAGAACTCTTCATCCCTTTTCAATGGCTTTAAGGAAGTCTCCTGTGGCACTGCCGTGTTTTAAGGAATATTTTCTTCAGTGTAGTGATCTGCTCTATTGAAATTTCATGTTAGTATTAGAACGAGCTGTCCAGTTGAGCTTTCAGCCCCCATTCCTGGCAGCAACGGCTGTTTTGCTCTCTGATCTGATGGCGTGCCTTTGTCTTACTGTTGCAGTACTTCCCCCGCCTTTTTCCCCATTCCTCCGCCTTTTAATCATGACAAATCTCTTCTAAATGCAGACAACTTTTTAATCTCATCCAGCTTCTTCTGGTTTTGCTGTCTGAGATAGCCTCTGTGCCAATTTCATCCTACAGGCTATGGTGAGCAGCTGCTCAAAGCACTCCCTGATGCTGTAGGTGGGCTCCGAGACACAGTGCCAGAGCTGGGCTCGGTACTAGGAAGAGCCAGGCACAGGGAGAGCAGAGCCATCCGATTTATTCTCCAATGTACTTGGCAAAGTCAGGCCTAGGAACAAGGATCAGAGCATCATTTGTACTGTGCCAGTGATAACAGCTGATAAAGTGCATGTGCTGTTTTCTCCCATGACTCTCAAAGCCATTTCTCTTTACCTGGCTACAGTGTTGTACATTTCCCACACACTATTTATTTTTTAAAATTACTTCATAGAGCAGAGTAGTTCTAGGGGAAAAAAAGAAAAATAAGAGCAGCAGAAAATTAAGAAATGCCTCTCTGCATATTCCTAGAGAGTAAAATTATGGTTTTGGGATTTTCAGGCAACAAGTGAAATACAGCATCCAGTATCCCGCATATTATTGTGTCAAGACTTCTGGCCATAGCCACATCCCTAGCCCTCCTCCCCACCAGACGCAGGTGCACATCTGGACTGAGGTGCTAACACGCTACAGCTACAAGCTGCTCAGCTGAAATAAAGCAGTAAATCTTGGCTTTTTGCGTTCCACTGCATAACCAATTAATCATCAGATCACCATCTGTAACTAGATTATCGCACTCTAAGTACCTGTGTAGTTAGCCTTTAAATAGATGATTTTCTGAGAGGTGGCATCTCAGTTTATCTGCATTCTTCACTTTTACAGCCTTGTATTTCATAGTTTGGTGACCCGCTGGGAGGTTCAGCTGCTTCTGTAACAACCCACTGAACGAGGAATTGCAGAGGAGCATTATGGCCTGTAGCCACTTATTACATAAGTCAGATTTCAAAAGCTGGACTTACCCCGATGTAATTCTGTCAGCTTCAGCGATTTGCGCCAGGACTGGTTGGTTTTGAACACGAATGTGTAAAGAAAACTGTGGTTTCATATATTAAATGTATAATAGAAGCTTGGATTTTAATCAATAGGTAGTATTTTAAGAGCGAAGAGGTTAACCTGTTAGTGTAAGCGGGGGAGGGGGGTTTTGTCGTTCACAGCTATGGGACACGGACACGTCAAAGCCGCTCGCTCTCGGCCGGATCACTTCAAAACGCCAGGTTTCGCGCACAAACGCCTTCTCTCGTAGCGCGGGGCGAGGGTCCCGGCGGGGGGCAGAGGGTCCCGGCGCACCGGGCTCGAAGGC